TTTCCATTTGGCTGTTAAGCCCCTTTAAGACGACCTGTGCTTTCTCCATGTCCCATTTACCTGGAACTGCAAAGACCCAGCACACAGGAAACCTTACCAGAATAAGCGGAAGGTTCACTTCGCCTTCTGGAGGTTTCAAACTAGCGTGCATCCCTTTCCTCGGGGGCTTGTACAACTCATTTCAGAGGCAGAGGCAGCCCATGATTCTACTCTTCAGCAGATTTCACCAGGTCAGGATACTTTCTCATGATCATTAACATGTCTTTGAAAGTACTATGACATGATTTCTGCCCTGACTAAGTCCTCTCCCAGGCATCAAGTGAGCCATAGCCTAAGACCTGGAAAGTTTCTCAGGGGCTCAATATTAATGAGCAAAATCACGAAAAGGGAGGCAGCAGAAAAAAAACGAATGAATCAAAATCATCTAGGGTAAAAGGTACGGGTTCCCCCATAATTTTAAAGAAACACAACTTAGGAAGTATGGCCATCCAGTAGGAGGCAAACCTGTAAGTCCTTGTCCAGGGATTTCAATGAACCCACACTAAGGAAGACTGTCTCTTTCAGTTAATAAACAAACCCAGGTTTACATATGAAGAAAGCAAGACACTGGCAAGACACGCCCACTGTCTAGCAGAGAGAGGAACTCCTACCCCTGTGATCACCCACACCCTCCCCTGCTCTCCCTACAGACAGAGCAGGCAGTGCCATGAAAACAAAAGTAAAACCATCCCCCAGCACATGCACAGGCCTCACAATGCTGTTGTAGATCTTAAGCAAAGATGGCTAGGTTTAATAAGGAGGAGCTGGGCTCTCCCCTGTACACCTCTACCCTCCCTCGGGATATGCATCTTTCTAAGAGTTTCATTCCTTACCTTTGAAACAACTCATGTCAGACCGCATTTTAAACCCAAGGGGAGAGAAAACAAACGAGAGAAGCGAAAACTCTGAAAGTTATTTCCCTCTGTCTTAGAGTTTGCTTAAGTCTTAGCTAAAAACCCAGCCCAGAGCATCTAAAACAAGATGTATGAACTAAGCTCTTCAGGGGGGTGTTCTGTAATGCACCGGTGGTTAAAAATTAACCTTGACAGTTGTAGGAGGATAGGGGGAGAAAGAGTCACTTGTTGCCTCCTCCAGGCTTGAGGGTGCAATGGTAGACTCCAATTATGCTACATTAGTATTTCTGAATGCATCCATGAAATACAAAACACGGTGGTATTCAGAGGTACCCTGTGTTCACTGGACCTGCTCCTACTGTGGTTGCCCTGTCCCTATCAGCTTAGCTCCCCATGTTTGGGCAGTGTAAGGAATTCCAGAAAGCCTGCCACTCAGCTTTAAAGATATGGAGGACTTCTTGTAATAGAGGGAACCGCATGCTAACAACAGAGCTCAGAAAACATACAGTCTGCATCACCTGTCCACATCCGTGCCTCCTTCCAGAAAAGCAAGGAACCATTACCTCAAGGGGCTGCTGGATGCACAAAATGAGCTGATTTCTAAAATTTCTTTGAAAACCACAGTTTATCAGTTATGTGTGTATTTGGAGTATTATCAGTCTGTGCTCAGACCTGTAACTGAAATGGATCAAAATAAGAAATATCTTTTGCCTTTGCCTTTTGGAAATGTAGCCAAACCAATTAAACTAACAGTTTTGAAAAAACAGCAGCAACAACAACCACAGACCAGTTAGAGAGTAGGGAGCAGGGGCGGAAGACCGTCCACACAACCTGCACAGAGAGTACAGGGCCTGCTGGGACACAGATGAAGTGGATGACACAGGGGACGCTGTGTACAATTGTACATTTTGTGCACTGTGCAAAGGCACATTGGCAAGGTGACAGGGGGAGTGGCACTGACATCTTGGCCGCTCCACCCACCACGCCACACAGCTTATTTATGTCAGCTCATTTAATCCTAACAACCCTGGGAGAGTGACCCATTCTTCTTTCCACTGTACATCTGATGGAACCTTGTCCCCAAAGCTACCCACATGGCACTATGGCCCTTTGTTCCATGTTGTCCATAGGATCTTATTATGTCCCTCATTGTTAGCTCATTACATCCTGGAACCTTCAGAAGAAGGCTTTTTGACTGGACACTGAAAACAGCCCCGTGGTTCGCGATGGTTCCAACAATTTAGGCATACAAAGATGGCAGACAGGACAGGCTGGACCCAAAGGTAGCTTCTGGGCATACCCAGCTGTGGCACACACTGGTTGAGTAGCATAGAGTGAGCCTCTCATCTCTGATTCTTCGGGGTCCCAGTGGTATCTTACAACCCTGTCACTTAAATGTGTGGCCTTGTGTCAATGCCTGATGGACCGGTTTGGAGAAACACATTCTAAGAGCTCACAGGGTACAATTGTCATAGAGTGACTGTACACAACCTAAGGAGCACAACCTACAACACTTTGAGTAGCTGGTTTGCTGTCCATCTGCAAATCAAAATGCTAACTTCCTTTTCTCCAGTTAAAATTGGACCTGTTTTTCAAGGTCCTTTTCAGGGTATATTCTTTCTCTAATGTATCTACTCAATTATCCTAAAAAGTCATCAACTGCACCACTAAGGATCTGTCTTAGAAGTGCACTCCCAGCTAGACTTTAGACTGCTATGTTTTTAACAGGCCTTACTACTACCTGGCCAAACCCAGAGATGATGTCTATCTGTCCCACAGCACACACTTCCTTGTAGTCCCCATTTAAGGATCCTTCAAAGATTCCTCTCTGTTGAGAGTGGCGGTGTCTGTAATTGACTGATTTATGAGCATTTGCTAGAGATGAACCAGAGATGAGCTTCCAAAGCCCATGAGGCCTCTTGCATGCTGGGCCAGTGGGGAAGGCCTCTGCGAAGGCATTGGATTCCCACTGGGTTGAAGAGGTTATTTCTTTTTTCCTGAGATGCCCTGCCAATCACTGCACTGGAGCTATCTTGGAGCCCAAAGGTGCCCAGGATGAAGGCACTTTCCCTACCCGCTTGTAGATGGTGAAGTGAGACACTTTGAAGCATCCATTTAATCCCAGGGGACCTAGACAATGCCCAGGGTGACTGAGAAGTACCACATGAAGTGAAAGTAGCTCAGACGGGGCTCAAGGATGACTTGGGTTTAATACTTGTTCCCCTTTTTTTGAGTCTGAACAAATACTGGGACAATTCAGTATGTCTGATCTTTGTCACCCGCAGAAACTGAGCTGACAGAACGAACCCTCCTTGAAAATTAGTATACCAGTTTCTGGGGGGTGGGGGTGGGACTGTAGTCCTCTTCTGTGTATCAGGCCACATTATGAGAGGTTGGTGTTGATACGTGCTTGTTATAAGTTAGTCTTATAAAAGTCACTTTATCCATTTAACATTAAACTCCAGAGGTGTAACCCTCCTCCAGCCAGACAAAACAGGCAAGCCCTTAGTGATCAATTCATTTGTAAAAGTCCATCTGGCTTTGAGCTTCCATGTCGCCTGCCTGATGAGGCCAGGGAGTATTACGGAGAAGCCCATGATGACCAACTCCTCAGCTCCCCTCATCCCTACCCCATGCCCTCCAGGGCAAACCAGGCTCAGCTGCACCTCCTCTCCAGGGTGCATCTCTGTGCCAGTCAAGAGGAAGTGAAGAGTTGCAGCTCAGCGCTTCGTCTGGGGCCTGCCTATTCTTGGTGCCCCTCTTCCTTCCTAGCCTGTGTGGTTAGCGTCAGAGCAGGACAGGACAGTCTCTATGGCTCACAGCTACTTCCACGCCCCACTCTCGCTAGTCTTTTCCATTAGGGCCAAAGGCGGCTCCTGAGTCCATTATCCAGTAACTTCGGTGTCATACGGGGCAAAATCCTCCAGGCTCTGCTTACAGATAGGTTCCCGGTGCACTCTGTTTTTGCTCCAGGCATCCCTGCTAAATCCTATCTGTTGTGCTCTGGGACCTCTGAATATGCCATGCCTGCCTCCTCTATGATCCACGCTCACCCTAGGTACAGTATTTTGGGCCAGTCCCACAGAAACTCTTCCTAAAGTCTTGCAACTTAAGCTCTCATCTATATCCAATCACATGAGGATGGGGTTTGAGCCTCTCTCAGTCTGCTGTATCCGGATGCAAAGAAACACAACTTGTCATGTGGTGCTCCATCCCAGGGCTGCGTGAGTTACCCATCACAGACAGCAGGGTGCTTCGGTTTAAAAGCCTGGGCAGAAATGAAGAATGCATGCACAGCTTCCTCCTGGCCCTGCAACTACACTTCACCTACTAAGGGCTGATAGGTAATTTAACTGACGAGCCCCTGTGAGCTAACTGCTACTAGATCACAGGTTGTTTGGACTCTTTAGATGAAAAGCTGCCATTCTAGGTGAGCCTGCGCTCCCTGCGGCACTGTTAAATGGCTAGAAGACCACCTGCTTTCAGAGAGGCACATGGCTTGCTCTAGCTGCAGTAAACACTGCTTTCACATTGCCTGTATTATTGAAAGGGTTTGTTTTGACACACATGTCTCGGCATAGTCACTTCCAAAATATACACTCCAAAATGCTTTAAATTATATAGTAATTATAAATCACCCCACTTTTTAAATATTAGAAAAGCCAAAAAAAATGTCAACAGCTAAAACAGACTCCATAAATTTATTCAGCAGCCTGAAGAGTAAGAGGTGTCGGGTCTAGGGAACTCTCCCAATGCTCATCTAAGACAAAAATAGGCTTGAGGTCCAGTCCAACCTCTGCTACCAAGTAAGCTCAAGGCCAGCCTGGACTACACGATAAGACTTTGTATTGAGCTAGTAAATTTTTAAAAAAGTAAGGCTAAAACCAAGATAGCTTAACTTCTGCAAGAGCTGGCATCTGACTCTATCACATAGACCACCACCGTTATTTTTCTGTGAACCATAAATTAACATGTTACTGTGGGTTACAACTGTATCATAAACTTGCATTGATTCAGAGGAGACTCTTGTAATTTTTTTTAAACTTGTAGAAGTACAAAGCAAAGGCGCAAACAGCTGTGGAAACATCAGCTGCTGCAAAGCCTTACCTGGTGCTGGCTGTCGTTCATTCCATTCAGTTGAGATTAAAATCTCTATCACTTTTATGAGGTGTTCAGTATTATCAGAGCTGCAACAAAGAGGGTTTTGTGAGAACTATCGTTCGTAAGGACAACACTGTCTCCATCCACCATCCTACTGATGTGTAATAAAGCAAGTCCACTGTGTAAAGCAATGTGCCCCTGTGACCCAGTATCTCTGGATACCCTCCAATAACCACTAGGGCCACCCGTCACCCCCCAGCTCCACTCTACCCCCAAACCTTCTTCTCATCTTTCACGTACCTGGCTGCTGGGAATCTAAAAAGCACAGGGCTGAAAATCTCAGAGAGTACTCTTGAATTCAAAAGATTTTTGCTGGAGGCTTGAGAGAGCTTGAAGAAATGTTTAAGCAAATACTGAAGCGTAAGCCAATACTGATGAGGTATATTAGGCGACCTAATGAGCTTCTTCAATAGTTGGATGTAGTCTTCAGAGCTTTGTACTTCTACAAGTTACAGAGAAAAAAAAAAAAAAACACAGGAAACAGAGTAATGCTATGTTGGGTGCCAATGAGCAAATGCTTGAACCATTTCTTCTCCCTGCTTTAGCTACCAAAGGAGGCCCATAGAGAAAACTTCCGGAGAGGTACCTAGGACATCTGTCCTTCTTATTAAAAAATGCATTGTGAGAAAGTAAAGATCTCCAGTCAAATGAAATGCAAGAAACTCTTCTTGTTAAAAAACCACAAAATGTTCAGGGTGTGCTCTCAGAAGCCTGGCCTCCATCAAGCAGCACTGAGCTTGATTGGCTACGTCCTCAGAGCATCAGATAAGTATCACAGGTTAAACTTTGAAGGTCACAGACCACAATTTCCTGTCCCCAAAGCACTGAACGGAGCCTGAGCTCCTGATGCTGAGGGCTCCGCCCTCAACACATTTTGTTCTGGGTGTACAGGGAAGAGGGCAAGAATATTCGTCACCATGCACTCTAGTGCTGGGTCCCTGAATCTGTGGCTAGGACTTGGATAATCAATTTTCACAACTGCAGTGATCTTTGCAGATAGTCATCAGAAGTTAATTAGTTTAACACATGGGCAGGATTCTAAGCAAACAAAGATCTGAGTCTCTTCTACCAGATGCTCAGATGCTATGTGGTACAGGAGGAGTCCGGGTGGCGGCGAGGCACTGGAGGGCACCTTAGAATTTTCTCAAGGCCTTCTGCTTATACACAGCATGTCACAGAGTGACAAGCATATCTATCTACATCTCAGTAATCTGTTCAGAGAGGTCTGGAAAGAGAAAACTAACCTTGGGCTAAAGACATCATTTCATTGTAAACAGCTACTGGAATGACGGGATTTGGTAAGTCCAAGAGATAGCGTTTGAAAGCATCTGCTAAAACTTGTACATCAATCATTTCCAAGTCCACTGAGGCGGCATCTAGGAGAGAAATAATTTAAGAAATATTTCAGGCATCCACACTTCTGTTGGGCCAATTTTCCAAAGGTGGGACTTAAATAAGGCACAGGGAAGGAAATAATACGGGGAAACAAGCCACGACAAAGGGATGCCTGTTTCTTGTAGGGCTGACTCCTGACTTCTGGACAGAACAGCGTTTCTTTGTGTAGTTCTGTCTCATGCACTGTAAGCATTCAGCACACCCGACCTTTAGCTATTATGCTAGTACCACCTTCCTTAGGGCAACGAAAAATAATGCCACTGTTATTGGTAAGTTAGTACCCTCCCCAGTGCCTGTGTTGAAACTCAAAGCCCCAATGCTCCATCACTGTTTGGAGATGGGTCCTGTAAGAGGGGTGATTTGGTTAAACAAGGTTGTTAGAACGGACCCTAAGACAGACCTAACTAGCATCATTATAAGAAAAGACAAAGTCACCAGGAATCCATGAACAAGGGAAAGGCTATGGGAAGGCAGCTGTTGGAGATCAAGAAAGAGGCCTTGAAGAAAGCAAACAGGCATATATCTTCATCGTCTTGGATTTCCAGCCCCCATGGTTGTGTGAGAAAGACGTTTTATTCAGTTTTGGGGAGTGGTTCTGCCCTGACTGAGAAGGGTCTGACACATATGTATGTGAATATACATTTATACGTGTATACACACACATGCACACAGCCAATGTTTCCTTGTACCACAACAGGAAGATGAGAAATAAAAATTACCAGTTATTCTCAAACATGAACTGATAAATGCTACCTAAAATTCAGCCTTAACAGAATGTTCAACTAAACATCAAGAAACTCTGGCATTTTAGCAATCCATTTCAAGACCACCCATAGAATAATGTGAACAGTTCCAGAAAGCTTCTCCTAATGCTGCTATTATCTAACCTGTGAGCGTCCAACCAGCTCGGAACAGAGAGAAGAGTGAATTCTCTGATAAATCCATCAGCTAGAAAGGAAGGAAGCCAAGCCATCCAGGAAAGTGCTAACAGCGATCCAATGCACTTTTCTGCACACGTCAGGTGTATGCAGCCCAGTCCTTGGGACGGAAAATGAAACAAGGTCCAGTAGAAGGCAGGGGCACCCAGAGCAAGGAGGGCTGGGGGCACCCATAAGAGAGGGGCGTTTGGCAATCAGAAGGAACATGGGGAAAGTTATTTGGGGTAAGGTGTGTTCAGAAGGTGGGCTGACGTTACACTTTTTTTTTTTAAACTGTCTTCAGTTATGGCACTGAGGGTTCTGCTGTGAAGGAGATGTAAGGAGCAAGATAATATAAAGAAGTTGCATAACTCCGTGTGTGGCTGGTTGGGCAGTGTCTAGGAGATTCAAAAATACCAGATTAAGATGGTTCTCCATGAGGCAAGCACCATCCCTGAAAGATGGTAGTGTGTAAAAAAGAAAAGAAAAGCCAGGGCTCCATAACTTCCCCCCATTCAACTAAGACAAAACAAACACTTTGCCTATTCATGATCTGAGAAATTTTTAGATGACCAGAAATATATAGGTGTGAAAAATAGGCACACAAAGCAAATGCTTATTGAAATTGAAAAGCAGTTTATTTTAAAAATATTCTTAAGAACACATATAACTTTGCCACTGATTGAAGGTGAAGGCCAATTTGCATACTAATGAAAGATTTCCTTGTTTATGCTTATACAGAATCAAATCTGAGCTTAGTATTTGACACAGAGCACCTTCATTGCCTTTCCAGGTAATCAATATTTTTATTTAAAAATTGTGAATAGGGGCACTCAGCTTTGCATAAATACATGATACAAAATGGCAGAATTAAATCAATGCCTATTCCAAAACTTTCTGGAAATTCTGTTCTAACCCCAAACCAAACTTTAACTTAAAAAAACAACAAAAAAAGAAACTCAAATCAAAAACTCAAATAACAGTTTTCACAATCAAACATTTGTATGAAATCCATTCCAAAGACATACTAACATGTGTGTATGAGTATATGTGTGTATGAGGTGTGTGTGTGTGTGTAAATGTATATAAATATCCTAAAGATACACATGTTGAGGGGGGATGATAGGAAAATTCATGTCAAAGTCTTCCATAAGTCAATCATAATGTTTCTATAGAGCAGGAAAGCTTGTATGCATGTAAAACCACTACAATTCATACCATAAAACGGTACTGAGCCTGAACGGAGGTGTGTGTGGCCTGATGGCATGGACAGCATACACAGTGCAAGGTGAAGATTTTATGTTCAGAACTAAAGATACAGTGAAAGTGACAGATAGCATGTGAGTAAATGCTGCCAAAAATGGGCCTTTGCATAAAGGGTCTAGCCTGGAACTATAATTACTAGTGAAATTATATATAGTGTCAATTAAGATCAAACTCCAAAGAGTATTTGAAGTTTCTGGTCCCTCTAGACACTGCTCTTGCGTGCCTCATTTCATGTCTCTTTGCTTTGGAACTCAGTATCGCCGAATTTCTCATCCTGAAAAAAAAAAAACCTATGCTACACCATCTGTCAAGGTATGTAGACTTCAAGCTGCTTGAGTCACGTGTCCGTTTCTTGGGCTTGCCCCCCCCCCCCCCCGTGCTCCTACAGAGCCGATGAGCCAGCCTTTCACCAGGAGACTTGGGGAGCAGCCTGGCAATTTTCTTTCTCACATCACACTTAGGAGCCTCAGGGGCCGAGTGCGCCTCTCCCCTGCTCTTCCAGCCTTCCTGAGCAGCCAGCGCAAGAAGTGTGGCAAGTCTTAAGGACTGGAGCCCTGAGGCTGGTACTCATTCCAGAGACCTTCTTAAGAACCTAGGAGTGTAGCCCACCCAGTCTTTACAGGGTTTGAATGATGCTACATCATGCCGTTCTTGGGATAAAAATCACATGTCAAAGTCCACAAGAGCTGACGATGGAGTACACTTGGTTTCATTATTTTTTGTGACGGGACTTCCCATGGGCCCCGGGGTTTCTGACTGTGCAATACGAGCTTCCTCTTCTGTGTTAATGCCACCCTAGCAGCTCCTAGCTGCCCACAGCTGGCTTTAGTGAAAAGAGGTGGTGTTCTTTTCATTTCACTTTCCACCACACTACCAATGGGTAGCCAGCTCCTTCAATGCTTCACTATGCCAGCTCCCTGGGAAGCCCCACCCCCAGCCCCCAGCCAGCCACCAGTTGATCTCTATCTGGTGTTGTGGTTCCTACGATGTGGGGGTAGAGTAGGATGCAACTGGCACTATTTGGAGAGATTCTAGACTGTCGTGACTCGGGGGGAAGATGCTGCTGGGACCTAGTGGGTAGAGGCTAGGGATGTGGCTAAGCACCCTGCAATGAACGTGACAATCCTCCACTCTATCAGCGGAACACATGAAGAGCACCAGGTTGAGACAGCCCAAGTCAGGTTAAGAGGAACCAAAATGGGTCAGGAGAAATTTAGAACCTTTAAAATTCAAGTGAGACAAAAAAAGCGGGGGGGGGGGGGGGCAATTTGTTTTAAGGTAAAATGAGGGATGGGAGAGGAAGAGCAGGGGAAATCTGAATAATCTGGATATAAACCACCGCTTTGCCACCCTCCTACCAAATCTTGTTAAGTGAATTTGCTTAAGTTGGGCTTTCTTTACTGGGGACTTAGAGTCACTAGCACTTCAGACTTAGGTTAACATGAGATGCTGTAAAAGGATGCCGTGAGTATTAAGAGCAGTGGGCTGCTTGCCCCGCCTCTGTCTGGCACTGCAAATTTACCACATTATTTAAAAGCCAGCATTTCTCTGTCAGGTGGCACTGAAGCTTCCTCCAGGATAGTGTGATAGCTCGATATATTGAAAAGTCCCAAATTTGCAGGTGCACTCCCAAATTTGTTTGCTCCTTTGTAGCTGTGAAAATGTACCAGTTTTCTATGTGTGGGTTTTGATGGCAATGGGGAGAGAAAGCTGCCCACTAAAATATATCACTGACGTGAGTGGATCTTGGTGGTTTACGCCATCTCATGAGTGGTGTGAAAAAAACAAAACAAAAACCTTTTTCCAAAGCTAACATGTATCGTTTTGTATTGGTCACATTAAAAACCTTAACCACAACTTTTCACAATTTTCACAGTTTCTGGTGTCTTCACGTTTCCTGTGACTTTTAGTATGTGTTCAATTTTACTTTTTTTTTTCCCTTGTCACAAACACACGTAACTCTATCTATTTCAATTGGCAAAGAACAGGGGTTTCCTTAACACCCTGGTAAGTTTGGTAGAGATACAGAAAGCAGAAAGGGCTCTCACTCTTCCCTTTTCTGCCAGTCAGCTTCTAATGACCCAGTTGGTGGAAGTATAGGGCGCACACGGGAACATGGAGACATGTTGCTCTGCGTGTGCCTGCCTGAGCTCAAGAGACACAGGAACTGAAGTTGAGACATTTGCTTGGGTGAGCTTCAAGTGAAATCACTCTTTTCTCTAAGAAACGTCTATTGTAGAAATTCCCTAAATTGCCTATGCCTGAAGCTACTTCCCACTTCAAAGGGTTACTTTGTACGGGTCAGATGGGCATTCCCGTGCAAGCAAACTTCTGAAGGAGCCTTGTGCAGAAAAAGAGCAACTCTTTCATTTAAATATTCAACTTCAGGTAAACAATATGAAGTAGAAAATGACAAAAACAAAAAGGAAGAGAGAATACTATAAATGAATGAAGGATTTGAAAAATTCTAGAAGTTGGCAGGAGAAGACAGCTTCCTGGGATGAGTTTACTACTTGTCCCTGAGTGGAAAAAGGAAGGAGGAAGACATATAAAGCCACCATTTGGCAGAATAAGTCAGTGTGTCCTCCCAAGGAATGGTGTGCTGGAGCTGGCTGGTGCTAGCTCAGGAGATCAAATGTTCTCAGTTTGTCCCAACTCCACATTCAATGACATCATGTGAGCATGAGGTCAACCACAGTGCAGACATTTACATCACAGACGAGGCTACTACTCCAACCTGGTGATTTTCCTCTGTAGAGAGTACAGTTACCATCACCGAATAAACACCCAGTGTCACGATGTTACCTGAGGGGCATATGGCATGAAAAAGAAGGCAGGCGAAGAAAGCCAGCAAAGCAGGTGGGCGGGGAAAGGTGGGCGGGGAAAGGGGGACAGAGAAGGGGTAAGAGGACAGCAGCAGACCATCTGTCAAGCGACACCCACTTAGAATGTTTTCAGCTGACCCAAATGAGTGAGATGTGACCAACTGCAAGGCTAAGGAACACGACAGAGATATAGGGTCCGACGAATGCCAAGAACTTGTTTCTGAAATTCCTGCAGAAGCCAGAGGCTCAAGTGTGTGAAAAGGGCTGAGAGCTTATACTTACACCTTGACTCAGGAGCCACACAGCTAAGGCGTGCCCTAACTTAAGGGGGTAAAGGAAACCCTGCATGATTTGAGGACTCCTGTGAAACTTACAGTGTTGTGTGGATGGGCTGGGTGGGTCATCAGAAACCGAAAGGTGAGCCTTATCCTCCCTTACAGTCCCATGACACTCACCACAATCAAGAAGCTGTCGTAATTCTGCAGGGTTGCTGGAGCAATGTGTTCTGTATAGAGTCGAACATTCCAGTCCTAGGACACAAAACAGACCGTGTATGCAAAACACAGCTCTCTGGAGGAACCAGTGAGCCTGCTGCCAGAGGACATTCCAATTTCCATCCGGTATCTAGTCTAGATGTGTACTAAATATTCTTGGAAGCCAACCCCAACAATTAATTTTATCTGGTATGTCAATAATTTTTGGCAAACTCAGTGGGCCATTAAAAAGTAGGTTAATCATATCTATTACATTATGAAGAATTGAATAGCTCCTACATGGTAATTACATGTTAGTAAAGAGCAGTGGTTCTCAACCTGTAGGTTGTGACCCCTTTGGGCAATGAATGACCCTCTCACAGGGGTCGCCTAAGACCATCAGAAAACATAGATATTTACTTATGATTCATACCAGTAGCAAATTGACAGTTATGAAGTAGCAATGGAAATGATTTTATGATTGGGAGATCACCGCAATGTGTATTCAAGGGTCACAGCATTAGGAAGGTTGAGAACCACTGCTCTAGAGTTAAAGTTATCAGCCAGGATTCCTTCCCTGGTACAGAGACACACACAGACCATGTGGTTAACATAGCCTCTGTTGACAGCAGTTAGTAAGACATTCACATAATGAATGGCCTAGAGATACACATAACAGCCATGAAATGAAGGTGTAAAACACTAACTCCCTCTAGCACTCTGGTTACCTTTCTTCTCGATGGCTTCCACAAGCTTGATAAGGAGAGGTGGGGCAACATCAGGAGGGGCAAACTGCTCAGCCAGATCGGGAAGGGTCAAAGCTGAAAAAAAGAAAATTCCCAGTATTAGACTTCATGTGAGGCAGTCAAGTGCATTTGACCACAATAAAAAATATTTAAATACAAGTAATTCAACTACTGCCATCCATAGCAAACTCAGAATGGAGTTAAGGAGATGTCTACACTACACTGTTGGGGCCTCAGAGACATACCTGTTGTTTTTCTCCAGAACACTCTCCAAATGCCCACCAAGAATCGCAGAATGTCCTGACAACAGGCCTTTGATGGTCTCTCCTCTGGGGTACCATTCCTAGGGCAGACTGTCCTGCCTCAGGGTACCTCAGAGTCCAGGATGGATCTAGGTAGAGGGGCTCCAGGCTAGAATGGAGAGCTTAGATGTGCAGGGAGAATGGAGAGATACTTAAGGGTACAGCTCTCTTCATCCCCGTGTCCTGGGCACATTGACAACTATGAGTGCAATCTGAGGAGCTCAGAAAATCTGAAATCAAGTCCAGCTTCTAGGTTATTGTGAAAGAACTGTTGCTCAGGTAGGTGAGACTAGATTAAAATCTTGTGAGATAGCATGGACTCATAGTAGTTGAGCATCTTATATACCCTTGCACTGAATTCTAACCATGCCCAGGCATCACTACGAGGCAGCACAAATGACCACTGGTCACCTAACAACAAACTAAGACCCTGTGTAACTGTTGTCAAAGTGTGTGTATGTGTAGGAAATGAGACACTTAAAAGTTTTTGGGGGGTTTATTTCATATTATATACAAGTGTTTTGCTGGCATATATGTATATGATGTGTATGTATGTGTATGTATGTGTATATGTATATGTACTACTCGTGTGCCTGGCACCTGTAGAGGAAAGACAGTCATACCAGATTCCCTGGAATTGGAGTCACAGATGTTTGTGAGCTACCACTGGACTATCTCTCTAGCCCCAAGGAATACCATACTTTGATAAACTGTGTCTTCATATGTTCTGAGTACATTTTACCAATTGTAATGATACAAAAACATCTAGTACAATGACAATCACAAATTATTTCCTCTAACATTATATTGATAACCATATTTCTCACTCAAAAAAGGAAAAAAAATGAAGTAAAAGTATTTTTCAAAACTATGCCAGGAGAGGGAGCTAAATATTTCACTTCAAATTTCTCAACCTCCAAAATATATGATTGTGAATCTTAACGGAAACATCTTCAGGAGCAACTTGCCTGTCAATAGTCCAGTAATTTCAGTTGTCTATCATTTATAATTTGCATCTTATCTACAACAGTTCATATACTAAATTAAATGGCCATAGTTAGGTTTTAGTGTTATAATTTTTTTGTGGGTTTTTTTTGTTTGTTTGGTTGGTTGGTTTGGTTTTTCAAGACAGGGTTTCTCTGTAGCTTTGGAGGCTGTCCTGGAACTAGCTCTTGTAGACCAGGATAGTCTCTGAACTCACAGAGACCCGCCTGTCTCTGCCTCCCGAGTGCTGGTATTAAAGGCATGTACCACCACCGCCTGGTGCATTGATATAATTATTATAAGATGTATATGATATTAAAAATTCTAATTAAACCCATTGTAAATACCAATAGTCAACATATACTAGTAACAGATCTATAATATAAAAGCAGTGTTATTAAATACTGACCTTAAAGGACAAAGTATAACTAGGAAGTCAAACTCCAAAGCCCATTGGCCTAAGACCCCTGCAGATTCCAACATGCCCTGTATAGATGGACCCATGGGGTTTGCCACTAACTATACTGACCATAACTGCCACCTAGAATGAAAGAAGAGCTAAATTCTAGAAGAAAACCCCATCACAACACTGTCCAGTGACATTTTCTGTGCTGAGGGAAACATTTGTACAGGCTTGCTCTATAATAAAATGACTACTGAGAACTTAAAGTGCAGCCACTGCAAAATCCAGCAGTTGATTTTTTTTTACATATTTAATTAAGAGATGTGGCCTGAAGTAGCTAAATACAGGTTGTGAGTATAGTATTTAAGATTGCAATCTAAGAACCCAAATTCTGTCAATGACATGAAAAGTTCCCGAGTCACTTTATGCTACACAAACCCCAGAATGAAGACATCTTTGTCCAAGATAAGGCATCCACGGTTGTACTCAACAACCTGCAAAACTCACGATCTGGCTTCCCATGGGACTCTGCCTTATGACAATATCATTCTCACAGCTTTTTGACACGTTAAATGTAGTGCAGATACATCATTAGGTTTATAGACAGCTACTGTGTTGTGCAGAAGGCTCATGGGATGGAAGACTACATTCCAGGAACTAAAATGCCTAAGAATAGGGGTAGTACTCTGTTTTGAGTTAGCAGTAAGTTTGATTTTGTAGGTGATTTCTATGAAAAAACCCAGGGATGAGATCAGTCAATTTTAGATGTTAACATGTGAAATGTTTTTGAAAATCACTTACAATACAAATGATTTATTCAAGGTTTATAATAATTTTAATTAAAATCACTGTAAAAAATTTTTTAAAAGCTGTTATGGAAGTGTATCCTTCATGGGCAGGAAGATCACAAGTCAAAAGATAGCCCATGTTACCCAGCAAGACACTGGCTAGAAGACAAGCGCGCATGCACGCGCGTGCATGCACACACACACACACACACACACACACACACACACACACAGCAGCAGCAGCAAAGGGCACACTATTTCATTTCCTTTGATAAACTATAAACCACTTCCCTTGGCTCTCATGTTTCAGCTTGTAACAGTGTCCTCTCCCACAAATACCTTCCCTTCTACACTGAACAGAATGAAGGTCATCCTGACCATGTACATATGTACTAGAAGGGAAACTGAAGGTAGAGAAATGGTGTAAAAAAAAATGCTATCAATCAGGACTCACTACAGCATTTTCCTGCTAAGGAACCTCAGCACAATCCCAAATTCTAAAGCCCACGGCTAAGTAGTAAGTACCCAAGTATGAATACCCACACTGCACTCATGTAACTAACTCGTCAAATCCTCTCCCGCCTCACTCATACATAATACAAGCTCCTGGCACCGAGATCAAATTTGCTTAATAAAGTTTATCTCTTTCCAAAATCTTATCAACACAATCACTTCGGCAGGCAAATATGATAACTAAATTAAATGATAATTAAAAATTTCTTGTAAATGTAATTGAAATATGCACCCAACAGTTCCATCCCTGTCTCTACTTCAGCTGAGAAAAAAGAAAAACGTCAAACTGTCTTGTTTTCCTTTGTCTTTCCTGAATTTCCTTGGCAAAGATCTTTTTTGTTTGTCTTTGGTTATCCTGAGCTACAAAGTATCTTTTGTTTCATTCATACTGACAATTTCTGAGACCCCTCTGTGATAGCCACCAAACGTCTGCGAGAACACCGGCCTTTTCAAACCACTGTCCACATGTGTAGGAAGCATGAATTCTCCGGTTTGTGCTGTGTCCAGCTGAAGTTTTTAAGACGGAAGAGGTTTTATTGAGCAAAGGCGTGAATCACAACAGCTGATGGAGCTTTTGCAATAGGAACTCTAAAGGCATCATTTGCAAGGTGGGACAATAAAAACAACAACTACTCTAGGATTTTCTATTCCTTAGTATAAGTTCTCTCACTCAGTATGCTTCCTCCCTGTAATATTTAGACAGGTAATACAGTAGGTTCCTGTCACCTGCTTTAGACAATGAGATTATCACTAGAATTCTAAACAGTATTCTGAAACAAGTATTACTTTCCTCAACAATCCTAAACCCAACTATTCTCCAATTCCATTAAATACACTAGGCCTATATTTCTTTCATTAGATTTCATCATAAGAGATTCCAGCGGGAAACAGTAATTACTGGGGATGACTAAACCTGGTGAATTGTTGATTAGCTCATGATGAAACATCGAATCATAGTCTGATAAAACATAATGGTACCAAAGGTTAGTTTTTTTAAAAAATTACAAAACATACAGGTTGGGGTTATCAAGCAAAACACAAATTAGCAGCACAAACTTCTAAATTTTACAATAAATTCCATCTGATGTAATTTTCCAGATATTTCTGACCTGGAAAGGAATGCACTTTGCTTTGGAAGTTCGCCATTATGAACTGTCTTAGTTCTGCAGAGCCACGTTCATTCGGAAGCATCTGGAAGCATCTGTAGGTTTCCTGACACATCCAAGCCCAGTGTCTCACTTAGCCAAATCATCTTTCATTGGAAGAAGACAACATTAAGCAAGGAAAAAGAAACAAAGCAAAAACAGCCTAAAGGTCTGAGAGTGAGAGGCTAAACCATGTATAATTAATTTCTAAGCAAAGGCAGCCTTGGCCGGCCTTCCCTCCATACTCACAAGAACTCCAATGAACCAGGGAGCCCTAGGTCATAGAAGAAATTACTCATGCTGCAATGGAGGATGCATCTTTCTGCAGGCCCTGGTGACAACCAATCACACGTAACAGAAGAGAAGCTCTCTCCGAACTGAAGCCCTTCCCAAACTACCAACTCGGGCAAGCCTCAACACTCCTGGGCACCAGGCATGTGTGGGAGATGGGAGCACTCTGTGCTCTTAGTGGTGCCAACACCACTGCTAAGTGCAAGATGAAACCGACACACAGCTGCACCTTTTGGAGGCATTCTCCATTTAAAAGAAAGAAAAGAAAAAGTTAGTGCCTGGCAGGACAGAGTGGAAAGTTTAAGCAGAAACATCAAAACGGCAGAGGCTGCCCCAGCCAAGTATTTCATTCCTAATGGAAGCAGCTTGGAAGTGTGTAAAAAAACGGCTCGTTACCACTCAAAATGTAACTGGAAATACACAGGAAAGAAAGGATATATGCAAATGGGGACCAATATTAAATCAAGATGTTAAACTGTCTAATGACTTGATGCATCCATGCTTTATTCCTGTCCAAAAAAAATATATAAGTAAATAAATAAAACTTCTCTTGTGACTTCAAAAGAAAAAAAAATAGTGGACATGAATCAAAGCAAGCCCGATTCTTTTCTTAAACAAATTCTATAAGCACGTTCATACTGTCTACCTATAACAGCTAATACCCTGGGCTTCAAACTTGTTGAGTTCTGTGGGCCTCAAACCACATCAAAAGCTGGTGTGCTCTTTGGGCAAAACAGTTAACACTAAAAAACAAAAACAAAGTTTAAAAAAATGAAAAAAAGAAAGAAACTGTGTTTGTTAATTTTAGTACACACTGGTTTCATCATTAGTTCTGGCTTAATTAAAAGCACAAAGAACTCGGTTTCTATCCTTGTGGCATTACTTACTGACAGTACTCTTGAACAAAATAATTAACTTGAACCTGAGTATTTTCATCTGTAAAATGGGAGTAATTATATGAGTTAGTAAGCATTAGTGAACAACATATCCTCAGTGGACACAGTACCCAGGATGTAGAGAGTACAATCCTTATTCAAGAAAGTTTTTTTTTAAACTATGATTAATCGATTTAAAAGGTCTTGCTTTTAACGTGTATAAATATTTGTCTGCAAGTCTGTATATGTACCACTTGTGGACCTAGTACCCAAGGAGGCCAGAAGAGGGCGTTGGATCCCTTGGAACTGGAGTTACTGATGGTTGTGAGCTGCCATGTGGGTGCCAGGAACTGAACCCAGGTCCTCTGCAAGAGCAGCCAATGTTCTTAACTACTGAATCTCTCCAGCCCCATTAATAGATTTTTTAGAGATTCATTCACTATGACAAAATGTAAGACTATAGCCATCTGTAATATTAAGATAGTTTTCTTCTTAATATTTCTGAAAGGAGGGGAGCTTGAAGTATGTGTGACAGGGTAGACATTAACACTGCCTCGTGCTCTATAAATAATGCTCAGTACCTTTTTAGACATCAAGTCAAACATTAGATGATGTTTAATTTCTCATACTTTCTCCCAATAAGGACCACAATCCTAATCCGTTTAAGTTGTTTGACTTCAGTTCTTTGAATGTGGAGGGGAAACTAAGTTGAAATGATTGTGTAATAAATTATACTAATCTTCCAGAAACACGATGGGCTTTTTCTTTGGAGGAGAAGGAAGATAAAAGTACAGGCCATGAAAAATGGGAATCGATATGAAATAAATCTTCAGGCATGGCCACACTGTTTTTAGAGGTAACTACTAACATGGAATTTTTCACACTGCTCACAGATTTAAACTGAAGACTCCAAGTCCTTTGTAGATGCCCTATACCCTTAGTTCTTCAGATCTCCAAGTTCATCTCCCCGCCTCTTCTGCTCAACAGTCAGAAGGCAAGGGGAGAATGGGAGACTCCACCCACTTGGTCTTCTTTCTACATAACAGACTGGCATCAGAAACAAACAGCATGCAAAGGTCTTAGGAAGCATATGCAGGCACACAGCTTTGCCTCGGGTGGCCTCTGCTAGAGACTTAAAGTGACTAGAACACTGAAGCACAAGGCTACACTTAATCTTTGACAGGCAGGCTAATTAACTGTGATCCTTATCACCTAAATTGGAATCTGATGTAGAGATGACAATTTACAGTGCACAGCAAATTAAAATGCTGAGCAGGAGGCAAATAGGGAAGAAAGCACTGTGCGCGCGCGTACACACACACACACACACACACACACACACCCTACCCAGAGGCCATGGCAACTCAGAGGTAAGTGATTTCTAAGTTAACTGGTCTTGGGTCTGTTTGCTTAGAAAGACTTCATCTGAAGCATGACTCAGACGCCCCATAAGGAAAGAATGGGGAGGTGGGGATGGGGAGAGGAAAAAAAAAATCACATTTCATGCACATGGTGAGCACCAGCTAGGAGCCATGTCTCCACACTCTTTTACCCACATGCTCTTATTTATTTTTCACAGCAGCTCAAAGATATCTCATCTTTATTATTCTTGATTTAAAGGCAAGGAAACAGATGTAGAAAAATTTAAGTCACTTAGTCAATGTCATAAACTCATAAGTAGTGCACATGCGTTCGGCTTGGGCCTATTTTCTCTTCATCAGTCTCTGGCTAGGGAAAGAAACCTATGATGTTTCCCACAGTGGTAACTGCAGTAAGGGTGTCCTGTAACATATAAGACATGGGACACTCAATCCCATAAGGCCATGGCCATAATATTCACTGGTGGGGTCAAGTAAAGCTACCTTGACAGCAGTATGAGTTTATGTAAATGCTCCCCCAAGTTAGGCAGTAAATGCATTCTCCTCCACTTTCGCTCTGTTTTGATGTCCAGATAGTCAACATTCTGCACAGGGAAGCAACGGGAGCCTCTGGGGGTGGGGGCAATAGAGAAGAACTACATGGGGGTGAGCTGGCCGCAATGCCCAGGCCTCTCCCACATAAATTTGACAATAAATTTCATAGTCAAACCTATGAGGCAGATTACAAAGGCTACAGTGAGGCCCAATCATAAGATGTAACTTGAGAAGCCCTAAAGGCAATTAGAGGAAATGGGTGGCACAGAAAGTTATCACAGTGACACCAGAAAGATGTTTGATTCAGGCTGGCAGCCACTGACCAAGCAGAAGCAGATGCTGGCTGGCCTAGGCAGGACAGAGCTTAAGAAGGAAGAAGCTGCCAAAGAGGTAACGTGGTCCAGTTGAACAGTACTGAGAGTTTTAAGAAAGCCTGAATGGAAATCAGAGGCAAAAAGGAACCACCAAATCCCATCCTAGGAACCCCAGGGGGCCAGAACTTTTCTCTGACATTCAAAAATATACTGAAAGCTTGAAGGGATTCATCAGTGAATGCCTGGCTCTCTTCCACCTAGGCCCTACAAGTAGTATTTTGCCATAAATGTTATAAATATTTTTGATGCATCTCAAGGTAAGAGTCACAAATTAGTTGCCATGAACTATACTATGGTCCCCATAATTCATAGGTTGAAGCCCTTTGAGGTACCAGTACTCACCCCTCAAAGTAAAGACACTCAGAGACAGCCTCTGGAAGGTTGTGAGTTTAGGTGAGGTCATGGGGCAGGTACTTCAGGATGAGAGTAGTGCTCTCACTGTTTCCAGGGGGAATGCATGGAAGGAGGCCACATACAAACTGAAAAGGGGCTCACTGGGTCTTCATCCAGTTACCAGAACTTACAAAAGTTCTATGCTAATCTGGGCTCATGTATCAGCAACCATACGTAAAAAAATCCTAGTCTAGTAAAAGTCAGTAATAAATTACAAACTCTTCAAGCACTGAGTAAACACCTCCATGTGTCAGAATGTTCCTGGCAGTGATTTACGGAGTGCTGTCCATGCCTTTACATGCATATCAGTAATTCTGAAGTATGTGTGGCGGACGCCTGGGATTCTGCACTTCCCACAAGCTTGCAAGTTAGATCCACGCTATAAGATCTCAGATCACCCTTTCAAGGAGTAAGAATTGAAGACGAGTGTTCCAACAGTAGAGAGAAAACCATGCTAAGAGCTAGACTCTCGGCCCCTGATACTGATAACTCTTGCCTACATGCACTTGCTTCAGAGGGTCGTTTTGCAGTGGACCTCAGTGACAAAGCACTTGTGTTGGACAGGCAGCCTTGACTGTGTGTGGTTTAGATCTGATGTCTACCTAACTCGTTATCAACAGATATTAGGAGCAGGGAGTCTTGATGTTTGGGGCACATGTGAGGCAGGATGATGTCACAACTTGACTGAGGTCCCAAGGTAAGTAAATTCCAGTCACGGGCAAGGCTCCTTAGCTTTGGCTTGTGGTTTGGAGAGGAGGCCGAGACAAGTGGGGGCATTGGAGAAGCAGTGGAAGCCAATCACTACTACTACCAATGGCTTCCAAGTATAGTTAGGCTAGGAATCTGCTTAGTGCTTTCTCCCTTAGGACCTGAAGAGCCTTTGGGAGGTCCTATAATTGTCCCATTTTATAGACGAGGAAATTAAGACTTAAAAAATGAGGTGACTGGCCCGAAGTCGGCACAACAGTCAGTGGTGGCAAACTGGTTTGAATGAATCCAGCTGGCTTTCTTGGGAGGCCCACTTTGAGCACTCTGCAGGTTACACAGCCAAGAGCAGAGGCTGCAAAGAGCTTTGCAGGAGACTGGTGTCAATGATCCTGGCAGCATTTACAAGCCTTGGTGACAAGAAGCGTGTTTGTTCAAACTGGGCTTGGGTTGGTAGGCCAGCTCTCACCATTGCCCCTGCTTTATCAGGTTTGAGATGTTGCCAGCCCACTCAGCCAGGCTAAATATTTTCAGGACAGCATTTATTAAATATTTTTCTCATAAGGCTAAACTAAGCACATTCTTCCTCAAGAATGTCATTGGGTTTATTTGACTAAAAATAATCGGCCAACTTATCATGTTTGGCAAAATATGAAGGACTCTTTGTGAATCACCAGGTGGCGGGAAGGTCCAGTAAAGAATACAGTGACCCAGGGACTGAATAGATGGCTCAGTGGTTAAGAGCACTGGCTGCTTTTCCAGAATCACCAGTACCCGCATGCCAGTTCACAATGGCTATAACTCTAGTCCCGGCAGATCCAATGTCTACTTCTGGCCTCTGAAGGCAGTATTTGCATGTGGTACACAGACATTCACACAGGCCAAACACCCAACATGTAAAATAAGCAATAAAAACAAGCAAAACAATATAGTGACTAGAATATCAGAAGGGGAAGAACAAGAGAAAGATGGATTGCGTGTGGAATGGTCAAGAAGGATGAAAGACTCAAGAATATCTCCTATAAAATGGGACAAATACATGAGAAAATAAAGTTTGTAAGTCAGACTTCTTCATTAATGAAATCTTTTTTAAAAAAATCACAGGCAGAAAACTATGCTATCTCCATATAATAAGGGCAAATGATCTGGAGATAAAAGTAAACACAGTCTTAAGGACATGAAGAGTCAGGGTTTGGAAGAAGTCAGGCAATTTGCCTTTACCACCTCTGTTACAGGCAATTAATTCTGGTGGGCTAATATATTTTCCTATTCAAAAGATGCCATGTTCAACAGATAAATGAACA